TCAAATAGCTCTGGTCTAACTCTCAGTATGGCAGGTTTAATTAAAAGATTAAAAGTAGTAGACTTTCATGTTACTATTAAGCCCACTCATGTAGTCAGATTTTTAGCTTCACGCTTGTTGAAATCAAGGGCTGTGCGCAAACAGCGTTACACTGCTCTCTGTGTATTTTATGTCCTCAAATTGAATGTAATCTTTAAAGGGTAGTTTTTCTGGGAATTAAGATTTTTCTAAAAGTGAAGATTTTTTAAAAGAGCTAATCTGGTTCATTCTTTAGGGAAAGCTATTCAGTCACTTGAAAAAAGCTCAGTAGAGGTGAGACCTAAAATCTACTGGAAAGTGCTAATAAGAACCATAAGTGATGCAAGAGAACTACATCTCACTTATTTTTTTTTCATAATGAATTGTTGGGCAGGGCGTGGTTTGGGTTGTTTGATTTTTTTTTTTTTCTTTCTTACATCCTTCTCATGAGAATAAAACTCTTCTGTCAGGAACAGGAGACACAATTTTAAGAAATGCTACTTGATAGATGTGATTTAAAAGAATTCTGGAAGACTGGCTTATCAATAACATCTGTGCCTGTGACCTTTTGAAGTTGATTTTAATCTCTAGTTTAAGGTCATCTTTTCTATACTGCAGGTGAGCCAGGAGGATGAAATAGGGAGATGCTGGTAGATCAAATTCTTTATAATGTAATTTATTAGTGGAGTTGGCACAAAATAACTTGAACGGATATTCTGAGAAGGGAAGACATAAAAGAAATAGAAAAATTGCCCAATGCAGTCTTATACCTATAGGTATGTTTCATATTGACTGTCAAGTGTATTTGCATGACAGGGCAGAGACTTGCACTGCCACTCTTGCACTGTAGGACTTTTTCTAGCGGTCGGAGCCTAACGTACTTCAAATTACCAAGGTTTAAAAGACAAAACGTGTTTATTTTTAAGGAAATATATCCTGATTCCAGTTAATTCTACTCCTTTCTGAGGGATTCAAAATTAGATCTCTGGTACTGACGTTGTATTAGTAACGTCACTTCCATTTATATATAATGTACTCGACTAAAACCGGTGCTGAATTAGTAACTTCTGTTCTCCGTGTAGTCAGTGGGGCCTCTGAATCTCCCTCTGTAGGAGACTGACTACAGCCCAGCCTGTGATGCACGGGTAGGCATCTGTTTACCACCTGGACAGGGAAGGTATGGCATAAATTACGTGTCTTCCTAATTGCATTTATGAAGTATGCGTGTGCTGAAGCAGTAATATGTAGTTCATAGTAGTGTAGATGAAACAGTTTTTCTATTCCCTCATTTTTTTGTGGTCAGGTCATCTTGTGCTGTAAAAATGATTAGCTTAATTCTTGTTTTTCTTAACAGGGAAGGAAGACACTCCATCGTTGCTTGGTCTTTGTGGCTCTCTCACTTCAGTAGCAAGCTACAAATCTCTCACAAGTCTGAAATCAAGTGAATATCTTGCAAGTCCCACAACAGAGATGACAAGTCCAGGCTTAACACCATCTTGAGATACACACAGGAAGGAAGAGCTTTGTGTTGTATGCATTTGGTTTATGTTCCATAAAATGACTTGCAATGAAGACTGCTAGTTCTAAGCTAAAAAATGAGCTGCTTTATTTTTTCTTTTCATGGTTACCTGTTTAAAAATTCACAAATTGTGTCAGTTCTCATTCAAACTTTTTTTTCCCCCAGAGGACTTTTCAGATTTTCTATTTTAGTCTTGAATTATTTAAAGCTCTTGGTCAGGTACAGGACATATAATCTGATGCTTATGACTGATTTTTAAAATGAAACAGTTGGAAATCAGTCCCCTACTTAACTGCCATGACCTTTGTTTCTCCTTGCAATGGCCTGGCCCTACTCTAGCCACGGTGCTTCTCTGCAGTGCTTTAAATATCTATCAACTCTTGCTTAACAGACAGGGAATCCTTAACGCCAGTCTTTGTAGGCAAATAAATATTTTACCTAAAAATCCAGCTTTTCATCTGTGTATGTTGCATAGGACCTCAAATAGCATATTTAACCTATCAACAGCTCTTCTCAAGTTGACTCAACGTTAGATTTTGCATTCCTGTTAGTATCATGGCACTTAGGAGATGTCTGAATCGCACTGAAGAATCACACTGAGACACTCTTACTAACTCTTGAAGTTGCATGTGAATAACAGATGTAAGTTGATCATCTAAATCAAGCATACTTAGCAATTTGTAAATGTTGAGGAAACTCACTGAATGCTTTTGAGTGACCTGAGTTACAGATAATCAAACATTATATGAGAAATTTCTTGGTTTATTGGCCTTGCTGGAAAGATGGGGACTAAGGATGGTGGGGTTAGCACCTTGGGAAGCTTGGATTGTGTGTTTATTGGCACGATCCCGAGGAGAGTGAAGAAGGGGAAACAAAGACAATGTAATGACGGTATTCTCATGTTAAAGATTTTTCTCATTCCCGTAGTAGTGCAATAGGTATTTTTCTTGATTAGGTAATACGGCAGAACTTATTTAAGTCAGTTTTCTGAAATTAATTGCCATTGATTTAAATTACTGATAGAAAAAAGAAAAAAAAAAAGAAAAAAGGGAGACATTTTTTAAATGAAAACTAACTTTCCAGATTACCCTACAGTTTCAAAGTTTGCAAATTAATTTTTGAATTGCAAACTATATTCTTAATTCTTTGTAAGATACAATTTTGCTAATCAAGGTAATGCTTATCAGTATGATTAGTAACTTTTTAAACAAAACTTAAATGCATGTAAGTACGTTGTATTTATAAGTGCTAGGGAAAATGCTTTTTTGTGCCAAAGAAGTTTCATAAATTGTTTACATGAGTAGCTGCAATACAAGACAGATTTTTAATTATTGCTCACTCTTAGGTGTTTACAGTATGTCACTACACTCTGTACGGTTTTAGTTGATTTGCCTCTTGTAACGGTACCTTGGCACTACTACTATAATCTGGTCATAGGGTGGGCTTGGAAGAAAGAGGATTCGTTCTTACCTTTACTGAAAACTACAGGAAATGTTTAGCCTTTGTAAGTATGAGGCTACGCATCTCCGGAATGCAACGCGCTGTTGGATTTAGCTGGAGGAGGTTCAAGACACATCTCCTCAACTCTCTAGTCCACAGTGCTGGAGGTTACTGCATCCATGGCAGAGCAAACAACTACTGATGCCATTTTAATGCAGATTTTTAAAGCAGCTTAGCAAAATCCACCAGACCTTGTCTTTCAAGTCCTCGTGTACCCACCCAGTTAATTTCTCTGTAATAAACTCTGATCATTAAATCCTTTCATACACTGTCAGAATGTCCATCGCTTCATGTAACTGAGTTTTTTTGTTATAACATTAACCACCTGTTCTCTCATGGCAGTTGAGTAACATTATTAAATACTAATTTGTAAACTAGAGATGCATTTTTATGACAAATACAGAGAGAATCCAGATTCCACAAGTTAACATTCTGCATCAAGGTACGGTGATTCAATTGGTCTTGTTTGCTGTTAAACACTTCTATGTCCCACGACATCAGTATTTTGGAGGGGGCTATAATCATGATCTTCAGTCATGTTTGCTGATGGCTCTTTTCTTGGAGCTACTGGTGTGAAATTCATGAGTCATTTAACTGAAGTCTTTTATGTAGCCTGACACCACCGTGAGTTTCTGGGTGTCATTTTGTGCATGGGAAATCAGTTGTGTGTGTCTTTCTCAGTCCTAAACATTAATCGTTTTTAAAAAAAAATGAAAAAATGCCAAAACTGTATGTTTTGTTGCCTTGACGTTCCATAAATGTTGCATGTAAATTAAACATTTTGTATCATCGCTAATTATTAGTTTTTGTCTCTGTTTTAATCATACAGGAAAAAATAAGACCATTCAGCAAATTATAGTATTACTGAGCTTATAGCAAATTCTTTTCTTGCAAAACAGGGAGACTTTGTTTTTGTTGCTGTATTTCATTCAATGTGGTCCAAAATCTGCTGTTACTACTTTCTTTCTCTTAGGCCTTATTTTGAGGTTGTAGTGTAAAATTACTTTGAAAATCACAATGGGGGAACAGTGTCAAATATCTCCCGTGGCAGCACCTCTTGCCTCCACCGTATGCTGTAACTTTGTGCCTAACGTCTTTACAACTTGAGCATTTTTCAGGGCGTGATGAATTTTCACCAAGGCCAAACACATGCTGGGATACGGACTTCAGTCCTGTTCTACTATGAAGAAGGTTTCTTGGGTAAAGCACACCCAAAAGTTGGTGTCTTAATGACCTGACTACTGAGTTGCTTTTGTACCAGCACACCCCCTCATTAAAATACGCAAAAAATAAAATTCTACCGCTTTACTGAAAATACATGAAAGAAGGGATGTAGTGAGGGTAGTTAAAAAATAATTAAAAAAAAAAAAATCATACAGCGGAAGCTCTGATTCAGTAAGTCGAGTGCCTATGGGCAAGGAGATGCTGCAGCTGTTCATACCACGCGCGTGCAGCACACCGTAACAGACAATGGCTGCACCTATAGGAGTAAACTAAATGTGCTCTTGCCTTCAGATAGATACGCGTCCGAGTCAAACTGGCATGGAACCAGCTGTGTTTATACCAGCAAACTTGGCCTTCAAAACCAGGTGATCCCATACGAACTGTGTATGGCCCTGCCTTGGAGCCTTGTGACAGTGACAGCTTGCACCTCCCAAAAACATGCGAGGGAGCGTTCCTCCAGACCACCTGTACAGGCAGTTGTCTTCAGCGCCTGGGTGTGCTTTCATTTCTGAGAGTATTACCTTAAACTAAAACGCCGCTGCAGCACCTATCAATGTATTCACCATGCTCTCTGGGTTTCTAATGAGCACGATGTACTTTTTCCAGTTTGAGCTAAAGCATTTTTCATTTTAAATAAACTTGAGAAGAAGCCAAAGACTATTTTATAATATGCATTTGCACAAGATATAGACCTGCAAATAACAAACATGCACAGAATTAAACATGTATTAAGCAAGAATAAATAACCGTTTATTTAATTCATTCGATATCAACCTCCTTATGGAAGAATAACCATATCATACAATTGGAAGCCCAAAACATTTTCTTATCATTTTAAATACCCAACAAAAATCTTTAGTCGGACTGAAAATTAACACAGTGGCAGTGGTTATTCTTCATTGCTCTGTCCAGCCTCAATTTTTTTTTCACTATTAATCATCACTGAAGAACAGTCAGTGCACCTATTTTTTTTTCCTTCTCCTTTCTTTCCTTTTTTCTCTCTAGCTGCAAGAGAAGTCACAAAATCTTCAATGATAGTTTAAGGGTTGTGTATTTTCTTAGTCTTAAGAAAAAAGAAAAAGTGAATTTATCCTTTGTGAAACAGTTAAAAATGAAGTTGTATTTCGTTACCAAATGTAATGGCAGAAATTCACCGGGAACTCTAGAAAATGCCTTGACAGATTCAAATTTGGCACAATATATTTCACCATATATTTTGACTTCAGACAGTCGGATGAAGGAGAATTAAGGATGCTGGTCCATTTTTTCATTTAAATGAGAAAAGAAAGACTTTCCGTATTCATATGTGCTGATCATTATGGCACAAGCAGGAGCAACTTTAAACAGCCGTGGAATAATACCTGCCCAGAAGAGAAAGGAAAGTATTCACTATCATTTGTTTTCAGACTGAAGTGCTGCAGCACCATTTAGTGGTCACAATCTATTGATACCAGAGTATATCGGTGTAGAAGTGGGATTCTACCTGTCCACATTCCTCAAAACGCTGAAATTACTGGCTGTAGGTGTTACCACTGTAATAACCTTATGCACTCACCTATGCCATCCTGTGCGGCCTGCCTGCCTCAAGCCCACTGCGTCTCTGCCCCTTCTGTCTCTCTCCACGGAGGTGGAGCACCTTGACCCGCAGGGCGACTTTGCTCCAGCACAGAAGAGGTGGCCCCGGGGGCAGACTGTGTGCCCTCCCTTAAGTGTCAGTGCAAACTTGCTGCTCATGTGGGACAAGCAGAGGCTTGTGACCTCTCAGGTGGGACAAGAGGTTCAGGAAGCCCTGAATCCTGAAATGGGTAAAGTTAGGGAGGAAAGGACTCAAGTAGCATGCTGGGCTGTACCCTCTGCCACAGGTATATGTCTCAGCCCTTCAAGCCAACTGTTAAGTAAAAAGCGTGATTCCCCTGCCACTGTCTCCTAAGACCCACAGCACCTTTACTGAAATGGAAGGATCCTGGTCACGTGTATAAACGATAGAATTTAGGTGTTAAATGTCTCCCATTACAATCAACTGTGATCTTGTCAGTGGAGTTTAGAAAGTGATTCACCTTACCTAGAGGAAGGAAAATAAGGCTGAATCCACTTGTCTACACACAGCCACCTACTTCCACTTGAAATGCAAAGACGTCTGCATGCAGCTAGTACAGATGACGCATGACCTATGGAAAACTTGTGTCCCTTTGGAACCGCAGCAGGAAGCCAGGCAGAATATGCCCAAGTCATCTCACCTACGCGTGGGCGACTGAACTGAGATAGTGGCTGATCAAGAGAACGTCTCTACGCTCCATTACTCACACGTTGAGACCTAAATGTAGGCGTCCTCATCTATGAACTACATTCCACCCAAAATAATCTAGTACCATTGATACTTGGTAGTGTCATGCATTCTGCTGGCATCAGGGTTCTGGAACAGGCAAATCCTGTTACCCAGCTATGTCATCACTGTACAGCAAGTAAAGCAATTTAATCTCTTTCAGCGAACACAAGCCCTGCAAGTCTTGAACCAACTGTGTAGCCATTCACACAAGGAACCCCAATGAACCAATGCAGTGCTGTCAACACTGGTAAGCATCTTGGGTTTGGAATGTCTCTTGCAGTTGTTCATTTAAGTATGAACCACTATAGGCTTTTATCTCAATATCATTTTAATCTCGATATCTTGTCATTTCCTCCTTAGGCTACCAGAGTCACACATGACAACAAGTGTGCATTACGAAGGACTTCTGTGCATGGCAACCACAGAGTATTGCCCTAGCCATTCAACAGAACAGGACAACAGCAGCCTCACCCATCAGGTAGACTCACTGAAGACAGAAAGACGTGGGAATCTCTTCCCCTACAGCCTGGGAGAAGGGCATGGGGGGAACTGAATGACAAGTACCAAGGAAGTAAGAAAGCTCAGGGAGATGAGCATCCTGAGGTGGACGTGCAGGAAGTCGAGAGCACTCTGTGACTATAAGCATTTCATATAAATTCAAGGCTGACTTTTCAGTCTCCAGTTGCCGTACACAGAAAGGAGGATATTCAAAAGCAAAAAAACCTTAAAAACAGTTTAGTTATGAAGTGATACTGTTTTAGTTTGGTAATACTTGGGCTAGTAAATTATTGATAGAACTACCTGAATGTACGTATTCAACAAAGGCCAAGTTTCATCCCCAGGTAAAGATTTGCTTTTGTTTAATGAATGACAGTAGTTCTTCACAAAAAGATATGAACCAGTAATCAGAATTCCTGAGGATGTGTAATCAGCTTGAACATTTACACTGTGAATATCCATTTGCACTGCCATGTGAGGCTGGAAACTCTTATTCTCTCAGTTCCTGTCACATGTGGTGGCAATCCCAGACTGCCTTTGTGCACACCCAGGCCCACAGAGTGGGAAATGCCCAGCACCACCTGCATTTACTCTTAATTACCATTCAGCCACAATACAGGAAAGGGAGAGAAGGTAGATAGTGAGTGCACTTGTGGATGGCAGGTCTCAAAGAACTCCATTAACTGATAATCACAGCACAGCATACATGTGCACTCCCAAAATGTAACACAGTAACCTCCGTATTTATTTGGATATGAATTGTGGACCGAGCAGCGTGAAGCAAAACTTACAAGCATTCACCATGAAATGCATTTCTTTGAATGGTGGAAGAATGTTTAGTTATAGGTAGGTTGGAGGAAGTAGGAACCTCATACCAAGCCATCATCCAGGAAAAAATACTCAATTTCATTTGATATGGACTGAAATGGCTGCAGACATCTTGCTAAGCACTCTGATGTTTATTAAGACAAACTTGATAATGGTGATGAACCACAGTGAAGCACAAGTATTTTGGAAGGTAAGATATAAAATATGACTTTTTGTAAGGTACAAAAATAAACATCTAGAAGAGCTAAAGGAACATACCAGCTTCTTTCTCAAATGGCTCTGTAGTCACCACACTACTGCTCTTGAACCCATGGATGAAAACTTTCAGCCTCCCCCATTCACATTAGGCCCCAACAACCCCATGCCTCTATGAAATAATGAGGCATAGACAAATCTACTGTAAAAATGCCCTCCATTCAGAACACAAGCATTTCCACTTATAGAATCATAGAATCATTGAGGTTGGAAAAGACCTCTAAGATCATCGAGTCCAACCATCGACCCAACACCACCATGCCCACTAAATAGAATCATAGAATCACTGAGGTTGGAAAAGACCTCTAAGATCATCGAGTCCAACCATCGAAGTAGATGTACTTCACTTCTAGACTTCACTTGAAGTAGACTCTCAGAGAAAGAAGGAATAATGTATTGAGAGATTGAAGAGGGACAAATTATATGATGATTACAATAGATCCCTACAACTTACTAAACATCACAGCAGATATCTTGAGACACAAAGAAGTTGTAGGGTTCTACACTAATGTAAAAGACAAAGAAATGAGAAAAGAAAGAGGGAATTGCAACCATCAGAATAATAGGCACCTCCCAATGGTGTCTTCAGGACTGCTGACAGAAAGTTCGTAGCTCCATGGAAGAGAAGTTAGCAGCTGTGGTCTGATACTGTTACTGCTCCAGAGACAGAAGTTTGAGAATGGTCTGGTCTAAGGCTCTGCTTTGCTACAGAGCTGCAAGATACAACACCAAATGATCAAAAAATTGTACAAAGATCTTTAAGAAGTGAAGACTTGGTAAATTTTTTATTTCAATAATGTTCTTACAGAAAGGCAGATTTTCTACTAAAACCTGAATTCCTCAGGCATGCTAAGCTTTACAGCCAAGATGACCTTCCCATTAGGATGGCAATGCTTGTTCCAGCTTCACCTTGCAGGTTGTCCTAAAAACTAGTTGGGCCCACAGTAGTTCACCACAAAGTTCTCCCAGGGTACATAGACATTCAGTTTAGTTATTGGAGAAGTTCCTGTGCGTATGGGGTAAAGAGTATCTGGTAGTTGCAGATTACCAGATTAATTAGGGTGGGGAGAGCAGCATATAGCTAAACTATCAAAATACTTTTGGTTTTAGTTACCAGATTGGCAACTAGAAACACAAATTGCATTCTATGGCTATTTAGGATGAGAACGCAAGAATACAGATGAGAATACAAGGGATGAGAATGCAAGAACTCAAATTTCTGGGAAACCAAATCTTTTCTTCCTGTTTTGCTTGACAGAGCATGCCAAGTAGAAACCTCTGACAGCAGTCTAGCAGGATCCATGATAGCTGCTGCCAAATATCTACAAATCTGTGAAAAAATTTCCATGTCATTCTCCAAGAGAATATTCTGGGATCCGGCTAAATCCGCCATGAATTACTGAAAGGACTGGTGATTACCTCAGAAGGGAGTCAATCCTTTTTGGTAACTACCGAAGTGGAACATTCCCTGAAAGATCTTAAGAATTAAAAGAAATCTTCAGTTTCAGGATGAGGTAACAGCAAGAAACTGTTGCTCCAATGCTGGAATGTAATTTTTCTTGTCTCTTATGTCACACTTGCCAGCTCATTAAGTCCCTGTTCTGGCCAGGGCAGTTTGGTTATGCAGTGGAAAAGACACTCGTAAGTCTCATGAGGTCTCAGGAGCCTCTATGATCACTCCTTGATGCCAGAAAGTCCTCTTACAATTGAGCCATAATGATGAAAATAAGGAGGAATAATATTTACTGCTGAACCTCTCAAGAAAACGGCCAGCTTCGTTGCTGGAGGCTTTGAGTTAGTACCAAGAATTAGGTCATATGATTAGTTAGGGTTCACTGGTTTCAGAGAGTTGCCAAGATTTGAAAAAGACACCAGAAGGTATTCCTGGGGGTTTCTTTTCTGTTCCATAAATATGCAGGGTTTAAATGGCCAAGATATCTGATGATGGTCAGGGATACATCTGTGCTGATCAGCAGTAGAAATAACTACTGCACATAGTTCAGGGCTAAAAAGTGATCTTTGCCAAAGCTATCAAAAAGACTAAAAGACAGTCTTTAAGACAGTCCACGCAAGAAGAAAAATAAAATACATCAAGGAATTCCACAGCTAAATGGGGTCTTAACAGTGACATTCTCTCTTACTGAATGGCTCAGAGGAACTGAAAGAGCACCAGCTGCATACTAAACTATGTACTGATGTGCTGAACACTGGACACAGCCGGGCAGCAGTGGTCCTTCGGTAGGTTCAGTGAGGGTAAGAAAGTCATGTCAGATGTGTACACTTGTGTGAGTACACATGAGATAATGTACAAGTAAAATTTAAAAACTCTTTGACTCATTCAGAACTCATTAAATTGTCAAGATTGCGTTTCTCCATCTGTTTAAACATAAAAATCTAACAAAGATTTTAAATAATGTTTCTAGTTTGATAGAAAATCTAAAGGAAAAAATTATTGGGGAATAGTTGTTGCATGACCTTGAATGTCGCAAATATTATACAGTATTCAACATAACTACTCCCATCGAGCAAACAAACAAATACTAATATAATTGCCATATCTTCCAGTCCTCTGTAAAAAACTGCATCGAAGTCCAACTTAAAATGACTGCATCATAGGATAGATGGGATCTATCCTGGGCCTAGCATTCCACAGGCCAATAACAGTATTTTATTATGTGAATTCTGCTTCAGAATATCTATTCCATACTCAGACTTCTTGGTTTCTCAGTAATGCATCTTCTTCAAAGACTAAGAAGGGAGACAGAAAAATACCAGTGAAGCTTAAGCTCTGTTTCTGAGACAGAAAGAACCAAAAAAGTTGAGTATAGAAACTAGCATGAGATGAAGAGCAAAACTTAGGATGGCTGTTCCTAAATATAGGTGCTGCAACAGTACTGACAGTTTGGAAATTTTTAGCACTGGACTAAAAACTGCATCTAAGAAACTTTCTGAGCCTAGAAACACCTCCATACTGTAGCTTCCAAACCTACAAGCCATTAAATTTCCTTTGTACCAATTCCTTCTGAAAAACCCAAGTATTACAGTTTAAGAAATCAACAAATTATTTAAATCTGAAAAAACCTATTTCCTGAACTGAACCTTTTCCCACCGTTTTTAATGGCCAATACAGTCATATTTGTCACGCCCAATCCCTCTATTTTTTAAATAAATCGTGTCCATCTTGGATAGCTGTAGTTGAGTAATTTGTGAAGAGATTACCAAAATTCTCTCTGTAGGTATGCATGTCTGTTGCTTTATATATACAAACTATTCCATAACTGAGAGTGTTCACAGGGATGGAAATATTATATAACTTATGCATGTTAGCATCTATAAACACTTGTTACTGATTAAAAAACTTTCTCTCTAGTCTGAGTTTTTTTTTAGAAAGATATCAAAAGATTTACCAGCAAATAATCCAGTAATCCCATTTTTAGCGACAATTTTCCTCATAACTGCCCAGGTTGATGTACAGTCCCTCTGTGGAACTCAATATAGTACAAGAAAACAGTGAATTAAGCAATATATACAATGCCACAGAAAAATATTTTTAGAAATCAGACAGTCACTTCAGATGTAATTATTAGGTTTAATTAATTTTATGTTAATTTTATCCATACTATTTATAGAGGATGTCAAATTCATACAGTATGCAAATTCATACAATACTCAAGTTAAAACAGCATGACATGGAAAAACCTGTAGTAACTCCTGGAGTAAGATATATGAACAGAGACAATATTCCTTATTAGAGTAACTGATAGGGTTGAAAAAAGTCATCTAGCTTTCAAATGAGCCAGTCCCTCTCCATGTCACTTTATACATGCAGCTAAAAGATCATCACAATTCAGATTTTTAACCAAGAACTTACCTTTATGGTAAACTGAATCTAAAGGTAAGTTTTGAAAATTGGTATCATAAGCATGAATCATATCATAGAATATAATAGTTAAGTTAGGACACTACACCTTACATCTAAGTTTACAAAAATCAAACCCCCCTAAATTTATAAGTTAGTTTAAGAAAGTATAGGTCTATGAGATGTGGATCACAGTCCCTTGTAGAGCTAAATCACATACCACAAGCAACCTAACTGCAGCAGCATCAAGAAGCAATCTGCATTGCAGACATATGCAACTGTTTTAAACGGAGGAATTTTTTGCACATGCTGTTTTCATTGATCTGTAATATGAAAGTGGGTAAGAAATTTTTTTTCTAGATGAAAGTCAAAACAGTTTCATAGAATACATTCAGCAGGAACATCCCACAGCATCTGGAAGCCGCAAAATATCTTTGCAGCCACAGAGAGACAATATGTAGATGCAGAGTGAGTGTCCAACTCTAACAGCAACTGGATTTGGAAAGGATTAAACTAGTACAAATTATAGATAACCATAATGAAATTTAAAATGTATATTAATCTAGTTAATATCAGCCTAATAAATTTAGGGCAGCTACCTGTGATTCAAAGTGGTGTTACAACGAATTCTTACATTCATCAGCACAAGGGAAGAATTGAAACACAGTAACTATTTATATTTAAAGCTTTTTTGATCTTTGTTCTACAATGAAAAATAAGTATGTTTTTTTCAAGAATTATATAAGAAAAAAATAATTTACCTGAGAGAATGAAACCTCATACCAAAAAGCAAGCACTAAGTTTTCGTAACATCTTTCTGATCTAGGGCCTTCAAGTTAGTTTCTAAGCAGAAACTGTTTGGGTACTAAGCCTTTTACTGGTCTGTAATCTTAAAGCCATGATCTAACATTTATTGAAGTTAATGAAAGTCCCTCACTGGTCCAGGTCCCAAGCAATGGAAAAAAAAGTTTTTAGATACAACTTGAATTTGTATAAAACACAGTGGTGCTCTACCGAACACAGAACAAAAAAGAAATTTCCTTCCTCTTTCACCCTTTAAAGCTGTTAGGATATTCACCAATACGCCTCAAAAATAATTTCTTTGAAATCACACAAAAATTAGGTAAAAAATACGCAAGCTGAGCACAGCACTTTCTCTCTCTAGCTTAATATTTAACAAAAGAAGAATATCAGAATGAAGGAGCAAGTGGTAGTGAATGTGCAAACATTTTATCATGTTATTTTTATCAACTCAAAAATCTTTTTCAATAGATAACTGTTCACCTGAATGTTTTATAAGAAATTAAATTTTTGCCTACTTAAATATAACTTACTTAACTGTACACAAATTTGCAACTGGCCTGCCTAAATGTAATAGCTCTGGATTTTTTTGTTTGTATTTTATACCATCTCATTAACCTAAATGGTACTGAACTCACACCTTTTCCCTCCTCTATGCCATTAATGAAATATTGTATTTATCCTAGAAGATAAAAAATATCCTACGAGATGTTACAATTTGGAGAAGAAAAAAGGCCTTAGTGATAGAATGTTTAGATAAACTTCAGAAGAAGAGACAAAGATTTAAAATTCCTACCAAAAGTCTATATACTCAAACACTAGGTTTTATTTTTCCAAACATTATGGTTTTTTTTTCTCCTTACCAGCAACTTACTTTTTAAGGTCTCACACTCCCAAAGTTCAGTCTGCCTATGTGTTTTCACTACATCAAATGGCAGAGTTATAACAGCTGCAATCTACCAGGAAAAGAAATCTGTTTTAATGTTAGAGCACAAACAATTAAAATTTGATTAAAATTTTTAAATTAAAGTGCACACAATTTAAAACTAGATGTGATATTCCAAGTGCCTGGTATTATTAAAAGTCCTGTACTTCAGAACACTGTAATTTATTCAGATATACCTAATCAGCTTGAATGCCAGGCCATGTGTATTTAAAATAGATGCACCCCAAAACATACACAATTTCTGAATCATATAAAATCGTACCTCTTTTAAATAGTTTATTAGTGATAATAACGAGTAGTACTAGAAACAAAAATATATACTTACAGAGCCAGATGCTGCTCCTGAGGTAAAAGCAATAAAAAATGTTGGTTCATGTGCACCAGCCTCCTTGCACATCATCTTCTTGAAACGTTCATAATTATACCAGTACATTGCTATGGTTATAAAAAAATAAACTTGCATTACAACACATTTGTATGTCAAATACAGAAATTCTTTTATGAAGTACAGATGTAAGAATTCCACCATGGCAACAGGAGCAAAAAGAAACAAGAGCTGAAAGCAAAATAAAAGTGTTCTCTGTGATGATCCATGGACAGACTGCTTTGTTCCCCTTATCTCCACATTCCAAATTTCTTTGTATGATACAAATTAGCCTAATCATTTTGTCATTCCCATAAAGTAACCCCTACCTTAATACAATCTAACCCAATGTTGTGGTTTAACCCCAGTTGGCAACTAAGCACCACACAGCCGCTTGCTCACCCTCCCCACCCCATGTGGGATGGGGGAGAGAATCGGAAGAGTAAAAGTAAGAAAACTCGTGGGTTGAGATAAGAACAGTTTAATACTTGAAATAACAGAATAACGAAAATGATAATTATAATAATAATAAAAATTTGTAATGGAAAGTAAAACAAGAGAGACAGAGAGAGAGAAAAACAAAAACTCAGGGAAAGAAAAAAAAAAAAAATTCTGCAACTGCTCACCATCCACCAACCAGCGCCCAGTCAGTCTTCAAGCAGCAATCGCTGCCCCCCAGCCAACTCCCCCCAGCTTATATACTGAGCATGACGACATATGGTATGGAATATCCCTTTGGTCCCAGCTGTGTCCCCTCCCAACTTCTTGTGCACCCCCAGCCTACTCGCTGGTGGGGTGGTGTG